GTAAAAATTAGGATCTTTGGTGCTTAGTGTCCATCATCAGAGCAACTGAATTACTCATAATGTTCAGAATTCAGGAACACGAGGAGATCTGTAGATAACTGGTACAGAGACAAATGGAACCTGATCTACAAAGAACTGTGGCACCTCGGACAGAAATGCAGTGCACCTTACATAACCCAAAATCTAATTGCTCATCAATCTAGGAACAGGAAACTGCTCTCACACATGCCCATAGCTGTTGCTGACGAAACGGAAGCAACCAAATTAGTGTCTATTTGGGATCATTCAGTTAAACATTCTTTTTTCTATGTACCTTTAAGGTTTCGTTCAACAGATATTCAGCACATGTTTATTCCTCTCAAAACCCAGTAGCTGTGCTACCTTTATGCAAAAATACAAGAGGTGATACTATATAAATGCTGAAGCTAAAGAATTAATCCAGGTTATAAAAGAAATTAATTCAATTCTGCAGACCAAGGGGGTCTTCACCTGCCAGGCAGACAGTGAGGTGGGGGCCATCGCTCGCCCCCGCTCTGCCCAGAGCTGATTGCTGTGTCCCTGTGGTTAAGACATCCCGTACCCATACACAACCCCTTCCCCCCCTGCCCCCCTCTGCCACTGCCCTGGGCATTACGAGTGTGGGTGGCCTCAGGACAAGCCGAGGACTACCTGGGCTCCCTTTTAGGCTTTATAGCCAAAGGAGAAAGGATATAGAAATTAGATATATTTTCGATCATCTCATTAGGAAGGATTTGCTTTGATCTCTGTTACATTTGAGTTGTTTGGATTTGTCAGGGTAGATGTTTTGTGTTTATAAAGGACAGGCTAAAGTTTGTTTTCCTGCCTTGTTTAGATTTTCCTGCTCCCCACTGTTCTGCCATGTAAAGATCTGCCATCTTCTTCATCTGGCTCCACAGCAGGAGTCCTGCTTGGCATTCTGCTGAGGACAGGACTGAAAGGAACTGTGTTTTGTCACTGGCTGTGTGAGCATTGTTTCCATCAGCTCTTGCTGCTCCACACCTCATCAGTCTGGTTTCCATCAGCGTGGTGTGTGAGGGCAGAAACTGCCACCACAGCAGGTGAGCACATCTGCTGCAACCTTTCCTACAGCAGTCAGGTTATTGAAGTTGGCTTCTAGTTCCAGGACTAGCTCTAGGAGGCACCTAACGCAAATGTTAGATGCTGATTGAAGCCTGTGAAGCCCTGGCTGAGATCTGAGGCTGTTCTCTGTGTGCCATGCAGCCACTCAGCATCGGTCCCCCCTGACACCCACAGCAGGCAGCTGTGTTCCCCATGGGGAGCTGCAGCCCTGGCACCCGCTGCCATGTATCCCTGCCGCACTCCCAGCACAGCTATTCACATGGAGACACAAATCCTTCCCTCAGATGGCAGTTCTGGGCACTCCCGAATGCATGGTTTGACTCTGAAGGCTGCTGTGTCACATACTTAGTCCCACCTGTACTGTCAGGTGTAAAGGAAGGTGGTGTGTGCTCCTCAGTGCTTCCAGGGCTTTGACTGGCATGGACCATCCTCTAGACACATGATGAGGGAGCAGAAATCCAAATCTGCAACTGCCCCAGAGCAGGGATGAAGTGTGAGCTGTGGGCACGTGGAACCCTTGGGTGTGCAGATGTGTCCAGAACCTGGTAAACGCTGCCTTCCTAGAGATTAGACATTGCATAGGACAAGCACATTTCAGCCTATTTCAATTTCTGTAAGTACAAAAACACTCAGGCTCTTCAGAAAAGGAGAGGGACTTGCTTAACAAACAGTTAAACCAGCCATGGTCGTAAGGAACTTCCAGACTCTTGTGATTTACCATGTCTGGCCTCATTCCTAGTTGACCTCCCTTCTATGGCTCTGAGGGGGTGAAGGTAGTTCGACACTTGTCTGTACACTGCTCCAGGGCCTGATGCCTTACTTGTGACACGTTTGACTCATGCTTTGAAAAAGTGGTGAGACATGTAACCATTCTGCCTTTGGTCACCTCTATTCCAACAGCCACCTCAAGACAGCATGATGTGGTGTGACCACCACATCTTCCACAGTAAGTTGTCCAGAGCCTCATTTGTCTATATGTGGATCTTGAGTTGACTCAGCAGGATGAAAAAATATCTGTGGACATGCCGAGGGAAGTCCTAGGTGAGCCTGGGGAAATCCCATGAGCTGGAATGAGACTTCTCACCTCATCAAGTGAAGGTCTCAGCAGGCCACTCTGAGGAAAAGGATGGATCAGAGACAGCATAGTCTTGTCTTAAGCTGCTCCTACCTGAACCATCCATAAGCTTTGATACATCTCTTGTGGAAAGTGCATTTTCACTGTCAAGCTGGTCAACTTCTTGTTTTGCTCCTGGGACCCAGAACTGATGCTGAGTGGTTGTGAGGGCTTCCTCTGAGCAAACAGCAGATTCCCTCTTGGGCAGCACCTGGGACAGGTTGTTGAGGCTCTTCACTCCCCAGCATGCTCGCCGGGAGCGTGGAGGCAGCATGTGTAACCCAGCACCCTCTGTCCAAGGCATGAGTCTGGTAAAGGGGCAGGCTCTAGATCTCTGCAGCCCAGGTGCCATCATACCAACCTGCGAGGTCTGGCTGGGGGATGTGGGATGTTTGGGCAGGAAGTGTGTAGGTTATTTCTGGATGCTGCCCAGGACTAACATAATTGCTTTGTTTTCCTTACCAGATGCATATGAGGGAAAGACACCTAACATATTCTCTGTGGCTATTTCACAATACCTAACTTTGGCTTTGGAGAGCAGTGCTGGTTCGTTCCTATGGGTCTCCCTAGGGCTCTGTACAGTGCCTCCACCGTGCACATGAGGGTCAGGGGTTGCAAGGGATGGTGTGGGACACAAGATGCCTTGGGCCATCTGCTCTGTTGTGGGAATGGGAAATGGGCTGCTTCCTGCTCAGGGAAACTGGCTGCTAAGATAAAGCTCTGTAACTGCAGTGGTATCCTGATGGATTCTGAATGGGACTAAGCTCATGAATACTAGAAAGGGAGGAAGGTAATTTAGTTCGCATCACATGTGGGTGGGTGCCAGTCCTGTCTACTCTGTCACTGGGATGTGGATTCCTCTGGCAGGTAACAGCCGAGCAGACCCAAGTTGATGTCACACCAGTGCCACCTACTCAGTTTTTTCTTCTGATTTTCTTTTTAAATGAAGGCAATGACTGACAATGTATTCAAGGAGCTGGGGCTTTAGTTGCAGCCTGTAACACAAATGCTTCATGTGTTCTCATGCAAGCAAAGCAAAATCATGTCAACCCTCATGCTGCAGAGCTTCAGTGTTGAACTCCCACTCAAGAACAGGCTTACTGAAATGTTGGACAATGCATGCACAGAAGTAAAGTAGTGACCCTAGCAGGGTCAGGGTACTAAGAGGATACCTGAAACATCCCACTCCCACTCAAAGATTTCCAGTGGGATTGATGTAACTGCCTGAAGCATTGACTGTATGGACAGTGCTGTCTTCCCAGGCTGGCTGCCCTGGGAGTCTACAGTGAGCTTAACTTCTTAATTTTTGCAAGATCTCACCAAGTGGTGATGACATGGAAACTGGTCCATGTGTTTTGAAGAAATAGTGTTACTCTTTTATACCAGTCCTTTCCACTGCTGTCAAATGAATGCTAGTGATTTGTCCTTGATTAGCCACTCTGTCCCCATCACTGTGCCCTTACTTCTCTTTAAACTGGTGTGTCAAAGAGCCATGTTCTGTGTGCATTTGTGTGACTATTGGTTTTCCCTTCCCCCATATAATGTATGAACTTCTCAGTGGATTCCAGATTTAACAGAACACCAAAGGCCTCAAGATCCCAATAAAATTTGGAAAAGAGATGGACCAGGAGGAGAGGGGTCCATGGTAACGCCTCTTCTGAAGAGAAGCACATGGTGGGACTCACTCTTCATTAATCATCAAAGAAGCCAGAGCAAAGCAGCCCCAAGACACAGATCTGTGGGAAACCCCCTGCTCCTGGAATGGCTTGTTCAGTATAAGCCCTCCTCTGTAAACTTAACAAGCATAATTTCCAAGACTTCTGTATTTTAAAGTCACTAGACTGCACACAAGGAGAGTCCCTGCAGGATCCAGACACTGCTGGCTTCCCTCTTCCTGCTAATGTTGCCCACCACCATGACACAGGTCCCTGCATGGTCTGAGACCCAGTGAATTGGAAGGGCCTTTCTGCAATGAGGTGAAGCTCTGCTGAGAGGAAAGGACCATGGCTGGCCTTCCCCCAGGCTGCCAGGTGTCCAAATTCCAGTCCCAGCACAGGAATGAATGGAAGCTGCAATTCCCAAAATGCTTGCAAAGATCAGCAGAGAGTTGTGCAATAGTATTTGAAGGAAAGTGGATTGTCTGAGGGGGATGGCATGAGTCAGATCAGCCCTGAAAGTATACACTATGCCCAAGCATAAGGGGGTCTAACCTGGCTACTAATCAGCCTTAAACACAGGCTGTTCACCCTTATGGCCTTTGGGGAAGGTGCAGAGAGATCGGGCTCTCTGGGGACTTCAAGATAATGGACTTTCAGCGCTTCTAAGATCAGGCAGTAGCTGAGCAGTTACCTCATTAAGCACTAAGTACTAGCAGGTAAAAGCAAAAAGAATCCCACATTAGAAGTGTGATTAGATTCTCTGGATTTGTTTTACTATATTTGCTTTACATTTCTGGTTATTGTTTTCCATCAAAAAGAGAAACAAAGCCAATTGTCATTTCCAGACCATGTGTGATCTGAGGCAATATCATAGAGGGTCCGTGCCAGCAATGTTTCTTTCATTTTGCAGCAACGCTGGCCTCTGAAGGGAGCTCCTCTACACAGGGCAAGGTGTACCTGCCTGATTACAGAGTAAACGAGCCACAGCAGGGTCCATCTCTGCCCCATTCCACCTCTAATTGGCCAGGACAACGTGGCTTCTTTCTGCTGCTTCCCAGAGCTGTCAGTCACTGAGGGTGCCTCCTGACCCCACTTCCCAGCCAGTATAAAAAGGCAGAGCAGGGCTAATGGAGCATGGTGTGGGGTCTGGTTCTTTCTAGCTGGTTGTCTGTTTGCTGCCAACAAGGTAAAAGGTACTGGTCTCAAATTTTACTGGGATTAAGACTGTTAATTGTCCTATGAACTCCTAGCTCGTGATTAGATGTTTCTTACCTGGCTTAATTATGGAATGGCTTTAGTGTTAACTAACACAAGGTTGCTTGCTGTCCTGCCTGAAAGGTTAGCTGCAGCTTGTGCTGTTTTTCAGTGAAAAGCTGGTTCTGGTTGGGGTTCCCTTACAGCAGCAGGGCAGCTTCTTGAGCTTTTATTTTTTTTTTTTTTCCTGGTTTTGTTGTTACTATCCCTTGAATACAAGACTTCCTTGAAGCCTTGGTAGGGAGGAATGGAGTACCTAGTGCCTGCTTTATATATATATATATATTGATAAAAAGCACCATAATCTCTCTAACAAGAGCTTTCCTGTGTGAGGAAAGACCTTTTTCTCTTCATTCTTCTGACCATAATAAACCATGTAAAACCTAAATACTAGGTAGCTTTGCAAGTAGCACTGATCCCTTCCTTCTGTAATGGGAGAAGGTCTGTTTTGGGGGTCTTCCCTTAAAGTAGTAAAGGAAATTCTTTAATGGAGTGAGAGGCATGTGCCCCTTGTGAAGGCTCACTAACTTCTTTGTCTTCCTAAAACCATGGTGCTATTTGCATTTTAGCTGCAATGGCATCTGCTATGCCTGACAAAGAGGAAGTTGCCAAGAGTTCCCTGGAGATGAAGGAGGAGGAGGAGCAACAGGTAGATGCTCTGTGAGATGTAAGGAGTGCCAACTCCTGGGTGAAGGTATGAGGAGGTGGCCCTGCTGTGGTTGAGGGGAGCTCAGCCTCCACAAAGGGAGGAGTGTTTCTTCTGTTTAGGGTATGCCCTGCATCTTCTCTGGAAATGCACAGCCAAAAGAATAGGACTGAAGACCCTGTAAGTAACCTCTTTGGCTAAACACAAAATAGCCTGGTTCTTGGCTAGGAAAGATGTCTCTTTAACCGTAGACAAGATCCTGGCTTGCTGCTGGCGATGCTTCTTTGGAGAGGCTCCATGTTTCAACAGCCCTGAAACTTGCTGCACTTGCTTGACACCCCTGACCAACAGAATGCTTCTCACAGACTAGTATAAAGTCTGTCAACTTAAACCCAACTTGATTCTGTCTGATGAAGCTTTTCTTGTTAAGTAGCTATACCAAGTTAGAGCTGAATATGGGTACAGAAGTATTGAGGTTGCCTAGAAACTCAGCTGTCCCTTGGATAGCACTGTGCTAAAGGAAGACCCTTCTAGAATGGACCAACCATAAATGTCAATGCTCTTCGACTTGTTTCACAACTGAGTTGTAGATTTTAAAGCAAATGTACAAGCAAGGCAAGCCTTGCTTCCTCAACCAGACTAGGTGACTTGAACAGGAAGTTTTGGGGCACAACTGTATAGGAAGCTCAGGGTCCCGCTTGCAAGCTTTAGAGTTTTTTTTTTTTTTCTCTTCTAGGATGCAGTAAATCAGGTGGCTAACCTCACCCTGGTCAGCTCTGCTTGTGTCATGGTTTCTACAGCTTATACCTCCACTAAGGAGAGCCACCCCTACATCAAATCTGTGTGTGACACAGCAGAGAAAAGAGTGAAGAGCGTGACTGAAGCCGCAGCCAGCTGTGTGCAGCCAGTTCTGACTACACTGGATCCTCATGGTAATCCCCTGTGGCAGAGCAGGTTTGCACCTGCCGGTGAGGGACTCTGGCTCCTTCTAGTTCTGGAATGAGTCCTAGGATGTAGAACTGTACCTCTCCATTACCATACTAAAATGACAACACCTGGCTTATAAGTAAGGGTGAAAATCTGAGTCCTAGTCCAAGTAGTGTGATGGAGTGTTCCTCCCTGGAGGACTAGGACTTGGTTCTGATGTTGACTTCCCTAAAACTGATCTTGTTCTGAGTATTAGGGGACAGATGCTTATAGTTGGAGTCTTACAATCTCATGTCGGTTACAAGAAAAAGCTTCCTCTTGGAGGACTGTTACATCTAAAGGTCTTGTTTGTCATGGCTCTTAAAGAACGTGACTCTGGCATCAGAGAAGAAACTCTGAACTCCTGGAGACAGAGGGGTTATTCCTAATGACAAGTATGACAAAATGGTCCATGACAAGCCTGAGTTGACTTTAAGCCCAGAGTGGGCATCCCCCTCCTGTGTTTCTATGTGATCCTGGATCCCTGGGATGTGGATGCTTGGGCAGAGATGAGGGCTATGTGTCTAGTTAAAAGCTAAAGAAGCTGCAGGAGGGGATTGCATGTAGGTGGTTGTATCTGTACAAGTGGAAATTGGTTGCTGTCAAAGTGACCAGATCTGAGGAGACCAAGATAAGATGTACTACAAATTTAGCTTATAACATACTTGGACTGGTGATCTGAATGGAGGCTTTCATCTAGGTTCCCTGCAGAGCAGTGTGCTCAGGAAGGTAGAACTTGAGGTGGAATTGCAGCAAAATAAGTTTTGATGCTCTCTTTTTTTCATTTCAGTTGCTGCAGCAAGTCAGTGTGCCTCCAAGGGTTTGGATAAACTAGGGGAAAAACTCCCACTCCTTCAAAAGCCAGTGGAGCAGGTAAGAATCAAAGGCTGTGCTGTCCCTGGCTGGCAAATGGGCCTGGTTCTTGCCGGGTTTCTAACCTTGGGAGTGAAGTAGGGTCTCATGAGAAACAAACTACCTCTAGGTGCATAGTGCAAGCTCCTACAGGAGTAAATACTTAGTAGACACTGTGCTAATGGTCGTCCTGGTGGAATCTAAAATTGTAGTCTAATACATGATCCAATCCCTTATCTGACGTAAGTCTCCACTTTCACAGATTCTCTCTGACACAAAAGAGCTAGTGTCATCTAGAATGGATGATGCAAAGGATGTTGTGAGCAGCAAAGTAATGGAGGTGATAGATGTAACTAAGGAGACTCTTCAGAGCAGCGTGGAGACTGCCAGGTCTGCAGTGACCAGCAGTGTGGGGATGGTTATGGACTCCAGTGTGGGCCAGATAGCTGCAAGAGGAGCAGAAGCTGTGCTGGGGAGAACAGAAGATAACTCTCTCCCTATTGGAAATGAGGAACTAGGTAAGAGAATAGTATATGTGACAAGTAGTCACATAAAACTGGGGATGGTCAGCCCCATTCCTCATTCCACTGCTTTGGAATGGGGCTAATGGAAAGTGCCCTGCTGGAGGCTACCTGGTTCCTAATCCAAGATTTTCTGATATTTGTTTACTCTGTGTGGTAAGTATCTCTGGTCAGCCACTTACAGATACTGTCTCTTTCCTCAGCCCAGCTGGCAGCATCTGAGGAGAGCGCAGGCATAATGTCTGTGGAGCAACAGCAGGAGAAGAGGAGGTACTTTGTGCGGTTGGGGTCCCTCTCTGATGAGCTTCGCCTGTTTGCCTACCTCCACTCAACAGACAAAATGAAGCAGGTCTGGCAGAGCATGAAGGAGACCCTTGCACAGCTTCACTGCATCATTGAATTCGTAGGTAGAGCCCAGTACCTTGGAAGAGGGGAGCAAATTGCTGGCTTGGCTTCAGTTTTGTTGCTATGGTAGACCTGTGCTGTTCACCAGCAGATCTGTCTTGACACTCTGATCTTCCCCTGTCACAGATTGAAGTGTTTCAGCAAGGATTTAATCAGAAGCTTCAGGAGGGGCAGCAGAAACTAGTCCAGATGTGGCTGGACTGGAGCAGGAAGTTTTCCAAAGAGAGTGGAGATGAAAGCTCTGTAGAACCAGAGGTAACTCCCTAGGGAGGGAAGCAAAGGGCTCTGGGCATCCCCTTGAGGTTTTTTTTTTTTAAAACTTTTAAAGTAACTCACTCTTCTGTCCTTCCTGTTTCCTCCTAGGAGATGGAGTATCTGGCCCTGCTCTTGGCACGCAGTATCACACAGCAGCTGCAAATCACCTGCTGTAAAATAGGGTCTGCAATCCAAGGCCTTCCCTCAAGCCTTCAAGATAAGGTGAAAAAATCTCTTGATACCATAGAGGAGCTTCATAATTCTTTCTTGATGGTAAACTCCTTCCAGGACTTGTCCAGCAGTGTCTTGACCCAGAGCCATAGGAAGCTGGCTGCAATCCAGGAATATATGGAGGAGCTGTTGGACTACTTGAAGAACAACACACCTCTGTCCTGGCTGGTGGGACCCTTCTCTCCCAAGGAGGAGGAAACTTCCCAGCAAGGTGAACCCTCACAGGAGAAGGAGGCAGAGACAGCAGGAGCAAGATATCATGCAGCTTCCAGCACCCTCATGTAAAGGATAAGGTCATGAGCACAGGCCTGCCTGTCATCACTCTGGGAGCTTGGCATTAGCTTTACATAACCTCACTCCCTATCCGAGGGTGGAGCTGTCATGTCTTGGATGGTTGTTGGGTGCTGGTGAATAAGTCTTTAGGAGCTTTTAAATAAAGTGGTAGAAGTAGCAGGGTCACTCTTAAGTGCTTATAGCTGCCTTCAGGCATGTTGGATGAGTTCCGGACCAGAAGAACAGAGCTGAAGTTCTGCAATGTTCCTACCTCCCTATCAAGCTGTCTATGTGCTTTACTGGTATATTGGTCTTAAGCCCTTAGCTAGTATAGAGTGTAAAGAATTGTCTTCCTAAAACCTGCTTGTGCAAGGTCATAACTGCTTAAAATAAAATGACTGCATGCAAAAACATTTACTGTCTCTAGTCTCTACTGGAGAAAGAGTGTAAGAGTGAGTATTGCTCAACTGATGTGAACTGTGTTCTTCTAATCTCTTCCTTGATGCTGGGACAGTGCAGTCAGGAATGCAAGAACTGGTGAACAGTCAGTGGTACAGTAAGGATTACATCTGGTAAACCCTGCTACTGACCTAGGAAGTAGGAAGATGCAATTCCTTCTCACTTCCAAGTGATGGATACAAGATGGGTATGTGCTCTCCTGGCACTTTTCCATGCTTGACACTGTGGGGAGCTGTCAAGATCCAGGCTCCTCTTGTCATTAGTCCTCCTAGGTCTAATTCTTTTCTAGTAACAGCTGCTACCTGGTGAAGACTTGGGTCTGTTGTGGGATAGTGGGCTGCAGAAGTGTCTGCCTGGGAAAGATGTGGACTCATTGTTGGAGAGTTATTAGGATATAGGTAACAGATACTTACTGTCAGCACTGGCCACTCCTGGCCAGATGTTTCAGTTGAGCTAAGAGCTCTTTAGTTGCCCTATATGACTCCTAAAGAGGTTGAACAGCCTCATGCTTTCAGTCTTGCTAGAAAGTGATGTAGCTAAGGCTGACAGACCAAATGTTTCTTGAACTTCTAAATGAAAAGCTCTGCTTATTGCATGTCATCTTCCTTTCTTCAAGGAAATCAAGTGTAATCCACTCCCAATGTGACTACTGCTTCTTCTAGACTTATTTCTTAAAGAGATTGTTAAAATTGTTTCATGGAAGTCAGAAACAGGGATTGGGTAGAGCAAATACAGTAATGTGGAATGAGGAGGTTGATGAAACAGTAGTCACTTTGATAAGAGGAAGTCTGTATGTAATGTTTGTGCTGTACTGTAGCAGGGCCACATGGTCCTTGGATTTTGACATCAGTTAACCTAATAATGCAACACAACATCCTGCTGTAGTAAAGATTCAGATCCAACTTCACTGATTTCAACGTGTTAGAGAGGCTCAGACAACTGTTCAACCTGTGTTCTTAATGTAGTAACTAGTTTGTGTTGCAGGCAAAATAATATGGTGATCTAAACTGCCAGGTCAAGCTATTGTTGAGATCAGAGGGAAGTTGCAAGGGTCTTTCCACTGCATGCTCTGATTACTGCTGAATAATTTCTCTGTGGAAGAGAGCTCAGAAAGATCTGGTCTGCCTAATGTAATTATAGCTGAATTTGTAGGGTGGGAAGTGGGGCACTAACTGCAAGCAGCATTGGAGCTAATGCTGCTGCTTGGTGGGAAATACACTAGACATTGTCTTCTCACTAGCAAAGCTGCACCTTGTTACCTAGGGGTGCCTCAATCCTGTTTTTAAACTTTCCTGGTTAAAAGTGCTTTATAAGAAATAGCTAGACATTCCTGTACTTGATATTGATTTGCCAATGCAGCACATCTGATCTATATTAATATAGTGCTTAGTCTAGCAAATAGTGCTGCTTCTACTTATGGATCACTGGGGCATAATCTTGCTTGATGATTAAATCTATTTCTTGCAAATGCTATTGGCTGCTCTTGCCTTGGGAGCCTGGTGCACAGCTCCCAGGCCCCTCTGGTTGCAGATGGGAACTGATGCTGCATGTGGCTGGGGTGTCCCTTGTTCCCTGTGCTGGAGCTGGTGCAGGACAGCCCAGCACCTGTAAGTCTTCTGTGGATCTTCTGATGCTATAGTCCCCATGGCCTTCTGGCAGCTCCTGAAGTTCCACTTGAGAAGAAGAGGCTGAGTGGGAGCCTCTACATGTGTCTTACCTCTTGTTTAATTTCTAAAGATTCAGGAAACCGTGGAGATGTGTTACGCTAAGCAAGAAGACAAAACTCTCACCGAGGCTAGCCACAGGTAGGAATAGCTTGATGTCCTTCTTTATTTGCCTTTCCTCTTCTGATCTTATCCACACTGCAGAGACAGCAGGGGGATAAAGGTGGAAAGAAACTGGGAATGACCAAATCGCCTGGTTTTCTGCAATGTTCAAGATGGAAACTCATCTGAGCTTTGGGAAAGTATCTGGATTGCTCTCAAATTTTATCCAGGCTTGTTTGTCTGACTATCCACACCTATTTTTGAGTCATTTTGGATACAAATAAGAAATGTATTGATAATGTGACAATCCTAGACAAACACCTCAGCAGGGAAGACAAGCTTTGAGGTATCTCTTCTGGCTCTCAGTAGCCCTTAGGAGTGATGTAGTGTTCCTTGATTCTGGTAATTATAGCCCAAGTGATTATATCTTACCCTCCCCTACTGCTCTTCTTCCCCGCTTATGTTATGTTCATATGTGATAGCTCAGTTATAGGCTGATTTGAATTTTAAATGCAATCACAGGGGCACTTGCTCCTTGTTTCCCTCTTGGTAGATGCCCCCGTCTCCCTCTGCCAGTTTGCTTAACATTTTAATTATTTAATTCTTGTGTTCGTGTATTTCTGCCTTTCTTCATTTGGTCCCTACTGTTCATTGTTCAAATGTCTGACTTCTAGGTCAGGGAATGTGATAGCATTGGGTGAAGGCTGCCTTAGGCATCCCTCCAAAAGGCTGTAACTTTTCACTGGTGGAGTTAGAAGGCATCAGCCAACTTGTTACTATGACCCCTAATTGGCAAGGGTAATTGCTTAAGGAGTGTTTCCCAAGCAGCTTTGCCATGAAGGCAACAGAGGGGGAAACTGAAATTCTCAGCAAGTGCTGAGAGGCAAAAGCTTTCTCTTTGCTTACAAGGAGCTTAATTTTCCCTTTTCACTTCCATGTTTCTTGATACAGTTGGACATTGTCATCTCTTCTGCAAAAGCTATGCTATTACCTGCTGTAAAATAACATTATGTTTAAAAAAGGCTTGTGACCTCCCTGAAGGGCTGCTTGAGTAGCTGGGTCCCTGCTCAGGCTTGAGCTGTCTGGGTTCCAATTTTTATATCACTTTAAGACCCTGTGGTTGGGGAACTTCATAGAGCTTTGAAGCTTATGGGAATTAATTTGGAATGGAAATGAGATAAAGCTGCTGCCCTCAGTGCTGAAATATGCAGATGTTTTGACGGACCACTGTGGGAGCAAAATCAGATTGTGGGACCTACTCTGTTATCTCCTGCTGCTGTCTAATGTGGGCAGGCAGGAATTTTATTTTTCTGCTTAGCACTTGGCCCTGTGCTTTCCTATTGCAACCATACCCCTCCCATCCCTTTCCTTTGTATTAAAGGAGGAAACCAAGTGTTTCTGAGTATGGGAGAGAAACATGGAGGGACTTCCTTGTGCTCTGAGCTGGATTGTGCCAACTTGAAATGTTCAGTTGAGATCAGTGGGGTTTTAGGAGCCTATGAAAATACACATTTTTTTTTTTGCTGGAGAAGGACATGGGTGCTTTTAGGTTACAGCATTTTACAGTGAACTGTACTCCCAATTGAAGCACACCAGTGTTTTTCCAGCTGAAACCTTTGCTGGTGTCAGCATACAACTCTTTCTTCTGTCAGAGGCTCCTGCCAGGGGCCTCTTCTGGCATGTCCTGGCAAGACTTTGAGCTGGACATCTTTTCTTCCCTCTGTACCCTGCGGATGGCAGGGGAGGGAAGGGGGATGTGTCAATAAATCTGCTTCAAATTGCCTTACAAACCAAGCGTGAACTTGTGACAATTCCAATATGGTCTTTGCATGGCTTGTTAAAACCCCTGATGCCTCCAGGAGTGACAGGCATCTGACCTGATCGATAGCTCGGCTGCCCTTTACTGCTGCAAACAAGGCAAAGTACCTTCTGTGAATACAGAGCACTGCCAGCAAATAATTACCCTTGTTGTGGTGTTTTCTGGTAATGAAAATCCATTTGCAGAAGCAGTTAGCTTGCAGTATTGACTTCCCAGTCTCCCTCTGATTCTCGTATTTATTTAGATTCAGCAATGGCTTGAGATTCTCCAGCAGTGAATTTGGAGGGGAGGTGATCCGGTGGATAATTAACCAGCCGATTGCTGACATGGTTGGATTTTATGCCATCCTCAGTACTGATACTTTCTTTTTGTTTCTTTGTCTTCTTAAGCTTGCTTTGTAAACTCTGACGGGAGCTGAGTGCAGAAGGGAGGCCAGCACAGGCACATTCCTGCCCATTTCTGTCCATGTGTGCCCCCCCCCCCACCCCATGCCATGGAAGTGATGGTGACATGGGAGCTGTTAAAGGCGATTATCTGAGAAAGTTAATTGAGGCAAGAAACAGTGAGGAAGGCAAGGGTGTGGAGGAGTTTGAGGCTAAAGCTGGGGAGAGGTGGAATGGGAAAGTGTGAGAGGGGAGTGAGAGCTGGAGGAGGAGAACACACCAGGAGGGCTGGGGACAACTAGAGAGCAGGTGAGAGGCTGGATGGAAAAGTAGTGGATTGGGATCAAAGGTGAGAATTCAGTAAGTATAGGGGAGGAAGGAAAAACTGAATACCTGAAAGATTAGAACAGAAAATCAGGGGAGTGCTGTACAGACAGAGGGGTTCACTTGGGGCAGCACTTGGGTAAAGTGGAGAAGACTGGATGACAGGAGAGGAACCAGGTGGCAGGGAGATAGAGGCTCCTTTTTTAAAGGGCACTGTGCCTGTACCTTATCAAGTTGTTTCACTGGGTGTCTCGGCAAAAT